TACCTGCATGGTACATGTATATATAATTTTATATCCATATGATGGCTTGGTATTTGGTAGCAATTATGAACAAAGTTCCTTTGTTTCTAATTTATAGTAACGAGACACTATTTTGGAAGCTAATTGTATATGAATTTCATGATATGGTTCGAACAGTTCTAAAATTTTCAATTCTACATTGTACTGTGACTTATTGATGCAAAGAACTGCATAAAGCTAGTTTCATTTCTGGTCGTTGTATTTTCAAATATGTAGAAATGAAGAACATAAGATAAATGCATATTATTGATGCTCCATAATTTGAACATAATGTATTCCGATGCTGATAAATATTATAGCCTGATTCGGTTCAGATCATTTTGTTGAAGAGTATATATTGATTTAATACAGTGTTTATAATAGCCTTGATTATGCATTTGATATGTCCAAATTTATAGTGATTTCTATCTGTTATAAAGAAAATACGACTCAAGAGTCAATATCATGATGATATTTGCAAGACTTAGTGCCACATGTATTGATGTATTGCAGACAAGGCCCTTATGAAGTTCTGTAAGTAGCTTAATGAAGCTGGCATGATCTGGCATGTAGTATGATGCAGACAAGGCTCTTTTGATGTTCTGTAAGTAGCTTTAAGAAGCTTGCATGGTTTGAGATGAAGTATGATGCAGACAAGGCCCATTTGACATTCTGTTAGTAGTTTGATGAAGCTGGCATGGTCTGGCATGTAGTATGATGTAGACAAGGTCCTTTCCAAGTTCTATAAGTAGCTTGATGAAGCTAGCATGGTCTGAGATGTAGTATGATGCAGACAAGGCCCTTTTCAAGTCCTGTAAGTAGCTTGAAGAAGCTGGCATGAAGTATGATGCAGACAAGGCCCTTTTCAAGTTCTGTAAGTAGCTTGAAGAAGCTGGCATGGTCTGAGATGTAGTATGATGCAGACAAGGCCCTTTTCAAGTCCTGTAAGTAGCTTGAAGAAGCTGGCATGAAGTATGATGCAGACAAGGCCCTTTTCAAGTTCTGTAAGTAGCTTGAAGAAGCTGGCATGGTCTGAGATGTAGTATGATGCAGACAAGGCCCTTTTCAAGTTCTGTAAGTAGCTTGAAGAAGCTGGCATGGTCTGAGATGTAGTATGATGCAGACGAGGTTCCTTTTCATATTCTGTTAGTAGCATGAAGATGCTGGCATGATCTGAGATGTAGTATGATGCAGACGAGGCCCTTTTCAAGTTCTGTAAGTAGCTTGAAGAAGCTGGCATGGTCTGAGATGTAGTATGATGCAGACAAGGCCCTTTTCAAGTTCTGTAAGTAGCTTAAAGAAGCTTGCATGGTTTGCGATGTAGTTTGATACAGACAAGACCATATAGAATTCAGTAAGTAGCTGGAAGAAGCTGGCATCGTTTGGGATGTAGTTTTACAAAGACAAGACCATATAAAATTCAGTTAGTACTTTGAAGAAACTGTCATGTTTGAGAGGGTTTGATACAACGAAACCACTTAAAATTCAGTTAGTAGCTTGAAGAATCTCGCATGGTTGGAGATGTAGTATGATGCAGGCAAGAAACTTTCCAATTCTGTAAGTAGCTTAGATGAAGCTGGAATGGTTGAATGGTTCATCATGTACATTGATCAAAAGATTATCTTTTGAAATTTTTAAAATTTTCGAAAAAGTTAACATTGTTTGGAATGTTCGTAGTATTGACTAGTATATTTAGTCAAAGACTTTCAAAAGACCTGTAAGTATCTTGATGAAGCTGGAAAATTCCGAGATGTATGGTTATGTAGATAATTCTGTTCGTTGAATTTTTAAGTATTTTCGAAGTTGACATGACTTTAAATATAGTTGCTTTCTTGTCTTTTGAAGATGTGTAAAATCATAGTATCTCATTGAAGCAGGAAACTCGTTTTATCGATAAATACAAGTATATAAACTTCAAAAGATATACAAAAGTGCAATTTGTTTGAGATGTATTTGCAGACATATTTGAAATTTCAATTGACAAAGCGAAACTACTGTGCTTGCGTATTTATATTTTAATAGCTTAACTACTAATAGAGCATTGTCTTGTTTCTGTTGTTGTCTTATTCTGTAAAGGAGGCCAAATTGTAACTGTGCTTCTTATAATCGCAGGCTCTGCTGGATTGGATTCTAAGCGTTTAGAAAATAATTTAGGAATAATAAAGCAATTTGATATCACAATCTGATTTTGAAATTTTTTGGAGCAAAAGTTTTTTCAGGTATCTTTGGTCAGGACACACGGACCAGATGTTTTGCAAAATTTTCATTGAAGGATTTGTCTGAAGACTTCCAAAGCTGCGTTTAAAATCAAGGTTCGGACAAATCACCTTTAGTCGAAATCAAAGAGGAATAATGTTTACATTCTGGTAGGTGTAGTTCAGTTCATTTTTCCTATTGGTAATAACCAAGAGATGTTCAGAAAACGTTAATAATAATGTTTGATCAGATGAGTATAATTTATGATTGATTTAAATTTATTTTGTATCGTAAAAGTTATTTTTATGTATCTGGAAGTCACAATTTTGTAAAAGAAACGGAGAATTCTGTAAGCACTCCAACTTTTAAGTTTATAGAAGTAATTTTTTATTCTTCATAGTGTTTTAACGGGGTTGCTATCTGAACTGCAAATGCTGATATGTATGATTCACTGATAAAAATCAACGTAGAAAACTTTTTGAGTTCTTCTGAAGAATTCATGGTAAAAAGGAAAGAAAACTCTTCAGTCAGGAAGGATAACTCTTTAGTTTAATGATTTATTCAAAAAGTCATGAAAGTCTCCAAAGGAAGCTTAAAATTAAAATCTTTTTATACAACAAATTGAATTTCATGCAACTTAAGGTTCTTTAATACTCTGATAAGAGAGATAACTCTGAATGACATAAATGTCTGATATTCCTTTATAGATTTGCAAGTAGAAGTGTCTTTTTTGTCCAATTGAATGTATTTTACTTATAAATACATTCTTTTTTGGAAAATCATTAGGTTCAAGCAACATTTTATACCATTGAGCAGACTGAGTGTTTATGAATCTTAATGTTATTGAGAGTTCTTTGAACGTTTTTATACAAATGTCCTCGATCTAGCCTTTAATGCCAATTTTTAAAAGTTTGATATAAATTTATATTGATTTATGAAGTTTTGCATTCATAGCAAACGCTTTATAAACTACAGTATTTATGCATAATAATAATTGTGCAGTATACATAGAAGAAATTAGAGTTCAACTCAGTATATAAATCTGTGCAGTTTTCTTCAATTGTTTGGAAACCTATAATTTTTAACATAGATATAGATCTAATTGTTAAAAATTTTCGTTTTGAAAATGCATGTAATAGCAGAATTCATTTGCATTACTGAAAAGTTATATTTTTATTCTCCTATATAATATTAACTTTTCTTTATGAGGTTTGAAGAATGATCAATGTGGATAAATACGCATCACTTTAAGAATTCTGCGACATTTTAATAATTTTCAATTATTCAAGGTCTGGTTTGAAATAAGTAATAATTGGATTACCTTGAAGCCTTAATATCTAGGGGTGGGTCATATACGTTTTGATAATTTTATGTCAATGCTTTCTTTATCGTCGAAGTCTGTTGCACTCGCGCATGCGAGCTCATCCTATATAAAGTGTTTTTGAGTTTTATTTATAAATAATTTATGTTCGTTTGAACTGGTGAATTTAGAACATAAATATATTTATAAAAGTTATGGTAAAACACGTGTGTTTGTTTTGTATGCAAATTAAGTCCATCGATAAAGGAGATCGATTGGTTGTTTATTTGTTTACGGGTGAATAGGTTGAATCCGTGCTACGCATGATTCAGTCACGTATAAGGTAGATTTTCGGGTGTTTTAAGTTATTCGAAGTTCGCTGCTACATTGCAACAGACTTATCCCCCACCCCACCCACCCCTTCCAGTATGATCGATATACTGAACATGTTAAAATGTTCGTTTTAATGTTGACTGTCGCTTTATTTGTATCTTTTTCTTTTGTAGAATGATATGGATTTCAGAAGCTAAGCTAAAGACTTTGCTTTGTATACTGTATACTCTTCATTAAAGTCTGTTGCACTCGCGCATGCGAGCTCATCCTATATAAAGTGTTTTTGAGTTTTATTTATAAATAATTTATGTTCGTTTGAACTGGTGAATTTAGAACATAAATATATTTATAAAAGTTATGGTAAAACACGTGTGTTTGTTTTGTATGCAAATTAAGTCCATCGATAAAGGAGATCGATTGGTTGTTTATTTGTTTACGGGTGAATAGGTTGAATCCGTGCTACGCATGATTCAGTCACGTATAAGGTAGATTTTCGGGTGTTTTAAGTTATTCGAAGTTCGCTGCTACATTGCAACAGACTTATCCCCCACCCCACCCACCCCTTCCAGTATGATCGATATACTGAACATGTTAAAATGTTCGTTTTAATGTTGACTGTCGCTTTATTTGTATCTTTTTCTTTTGTAGAATGATATGGATTTCAGAAGCTAAGCTAAAGACTTTGCTTTGTATACTGTATACTCTTCATTAAAGTCTGTTGCACTCGCGCATGCGAGCTCATCCTATATAAAGTGTTTTTGAGTTTTATTTATAAATAATTTATGTTCGTTTGAACTGGTGAATTTAGAACATAAGCGACAATAGTTTTGTGTTTACCATTGACTTTTGCATTAAAAGAAAATCTCTCTGAATTGCTTTGAAAAATAAAAACAAAAAGAAATATATCGAGGAATGAGTGTTCGGATTATCAGCTTCCATCTTTAAAAGGAAATGTAACTACAATGTATTCCAATAAGATTTCACTTTTTCTTGTAAAACCACATTCGACAGTCTTCATTCGAATCATCTTGACCAATGACGGTTTAATGTTTATGGGAATGGAAGATAGTCATATTGATATTCATGTATACAAATTAAATGCACCACACGCCCACATTCATTTTGAATTGCCTCTAAATTTATAGTTTCATTACTTGATCTACAGAGAGGAGGAAATGAAAACTTGTTTTTTCTTCGTTGTGATTCTTATTTCAGTATTCAAATCCGTTGAATGTGAGTATATTGTTTGAGGGTATATAGCTTTTTTGAAACATGCCTTATTTGTATTTTTTGTTTTAAAAACTAATTATACAGTAAAAATAAATTATGGGAAGATCAAAATTTCCATCGACATATAAACAGCAATGTAAACACCTGGTATAAATGAAATGGTTTATTGACTATTACATTTGGGTATACCTTAAACATGCTCGATTTCAAAGAAAATAACGACTGTTATAGTATATTTTTGCTTAAGATTAAATCAGTTTACGTTTAGAAAAATTATCATAAAGGAAAATCATAATTAATATAATACAACAATTGTATCATTTAAATGAAAATATGATTTGTTATTTCATATCTATTATTTATGACACTTAACTCTTTATTATAAGCACAATGCGTTCACCTTGGGAGACTGTATGAGCCGGAAGTAAGCTTCCCAAAGGGTGATGGTTGCAATGCCTGTAAATGTTCTGATTCTGGAAGAGTAAGGTGTACAGATAGAAGGTGCCATGAATATCCAAGTAAGACTTCATTCTTCCTTTCAGTTTGGTTTGAAAGTAAATGTACCTTGAAGATTGTCATCATATTACTATTTTCGACTTAAAATATCACTGGTTTAGTTATTTTCAATATGACAAAATTTTTAACGAAATTTTACTTTCTCAAATCGATCTCTATGGAAACAATGTATAAATGTTTACTCAAAAGTGTCATATTGTTTTTTTAATAAATATAGAAATAAACTTAAAGGTTATAAATATTCCAATTCAAGACAACAACGTTGCCAGTTGAAAATGCATATTTGGAGTAAATTTTTGTATTCTTAACACATTGTACCTTATGTATCTGTTCTTTTTTCATGTGTCCTAAAAAATTCTGTGTTTTGTACAATTGCCATGTATATAATGATTTCTACAAGCTTTCCATATTTTAACTTTTCCTCCCTCTTGGTTATCTCACTTAAAGAACTAATAACAAACTTAGTTAAAAATCATGCTGACTTTAATAAGTTTGTATTGTTTTTTATCTGATTATTTCAAGAGAACCTACACAAAGCGACAAAAAAGTACATATATAATTATAACATGTCAAGAATTGTACTCACGGACAGAATGTCGTCACAATGGTAAACTGTATGAGGCTGGGAGTCGTTTCTCTGCCAGAGACGGGTGTAATGAGTGCACATGCACTACCATAGGAGTCCCACAGTGTACAATGTACAATTGCTATCCAGGTATGAACATTATATAGTGTACAATGTACAATTGCTATCCAGGTATGAACATTATATAGTGTACAATGTACAATTGCTATCCAGGTATGAACATTATATATGAATATGCCGTCTGTCTATATTTTTCTAAAAAGTGTTTAATGTTTGAGCATTGTATTTTCTATGTTTCTGTGTCTTATTGTGATATTTGGGTTCAATACTTAGACCCCCTCCCCTCAAAAAAGGGATTTTATCTATGTCATATTTGAGAAATATATACTCAGACTCCCTCCCCTCAAATAAGGGATTTTACCCATGTCATAT